AAAGCTTTTTTTGTATGTATGTATGTGTGTAAATTTTATAAAATGCTAATGCAGAACAATAAAACTTGTATTGTTAAAATAAGTTAGTTTTTTCTAACAAATACAACTTGCTTTAAAATCATAAATAATATTCAACGTTAAACTGGTACACAATTAAAAACATTTTATTTAGGCCTATCTATGGCCTTCAAAAAGTTGACAACTCTACAATCTGAAGTTCGGAGGTTCGAATACCCATCCCACCAAGTGTGCTCGTCCTTTGAACTGTGGGGGTGTTACAATATGATTGTCAATCCCACTATTCGTTGGTAAAAGAGTAGCCCAAGAGTTGGCGGTGGGTGGGGATGACTAGCTGCTTTCCCTCTAATATTTCACTGCTAAATTAGGGACAGATAGCCCTCGTCTAACTTTGTGCGAAATTCAAAAGAAATTCTTTAGCTCCCTTCAGCAAATGCATACTTAATTATTTTCAGTTTAGAACTCCAAATAGATTAAAACTCCACTTTCACCGTAGGTTTTGCTGAGGGACTATAAACTCCGATCATACACCCTCAATGCCGTAAGTTTTCATTTTCTTCAAGAACAGAAAGAAGACGTACAACATTCCATTATTACGGATTTACAGGTAGGAATTTTTAAATTCAGTTAGATTTATTGTTTATAAAATCTTACAGATTTTACTTGCTATAAAAAGGCATAAGTAAAAATAAATACTTTATCTCTGAACAAAATATCAGTAACTATTTTTGTAAAATTGGAGATCATGATACATTTACTTTGAGTACTAAAAAAGGGGTTAAAGCAGTATATATTTTTTTTATAAAAAACACTTGGTGAATTGCCTGTTAGTGAAATATTGTTGTAATAAAACCATTCATTTGGTTAATATTGTTTAACTGCTTACCAAAATATATATATATATATACATTTTTTTACACGTACATACAGTTTATGGCATTGTTGTTTTACATTGATATTCTCAATTCCTTATTTTAAATGTATTTGCATATTTTAATCCAGTAAATGATTGCATACGTTTTAAATACAACCTAAACATTAATGTAATCACATTTTAAGCTTAAGAAGACTGGGATTTATACATATATGACACAATTGCACGATATTTAGATGCTCTGGTAATGTATTACATCTTTATGTATTTGTTTCAGAATGGAAATGAACAAACCAGAAGGCGACTTGCTGTATATTGTTTAAAAGATGCTATGTTACCTTTAAGACTTTTAGACAAGCTGATGTGTATTATCAATTACATGGAAATGGCTCGGGTGACAGGGGTGCCTTTGTCTTATTTACTTTCACGGGGTCAACAGATTAAAGTAGTGTCCCAGCTTCTGAGGAAGGTAAGAAGATTGAACTATATTATCTTTTATTGATGTTCATAATTGATAAAGCTTTTAAACAGAGTAGTTAACTTCCAAAAAAATTATCTCAATGTCAACCTATTTTGCCTGATCTGCCACCTAGATAGACATAGGTCAGATTTGGAAAATGACACTTTTCAGAAAGTAAACACTTGATTTGGGGATTTCCCTTAAACTTTTTTTTCTTCTTTTAACATTCAAAATGTTGGTATTTCACAGACAAGTTTAATATCATTGAGATGAAAGAAATGTCATAGTATTTTTTGATATAAAGTGTTTTACCTTAACATAGCAAACCTTAAAGCAACTAGCCAAGTCTCTTTATTGAGCCGTCTCAGATATCAAGGGATTTATGTTTCCGTAATCATTTAAAACTGATTCATTTTAAACTAAAAAATCCACATACTAGTTTATACACTCTGGAGATATAATGAGGAACCATCTTTTTTAATATTTAATCTACTGATCATTGTCTGGGGTGTGGGAATGGTGTTCCCTTACTTTAGTTTTAGCTCACCCCTAGAAGAAAGAATCACTAACCCTTTCATCCTGATTGTAGGTAAGTAATCAATGTCTAATGAAAGAAAATGCAAAATAAAATATGTACTTTCGTTATTATTGATCACAAAGTTTCAAACAACTTATGCTCAGAGTATATACTTCTCATCTTTTCACACTTATGATCTGTAGTTATTTTATTGTAAGCAACTGAAATTCTACGAAACAAAACGAATAGTACTCTCGGGACTTTTCACTGTGGACTACGAAATTCCAAAGTTTATTTTACTGTTAGTAGCTGAAATAGAAATCTTTCAAAAATAAAGTAATGAATTTCCACTCATGATATTAGACTGTTAACGTGACACCGTCGATGGGAATTTTCCCAGCTTCGAAAACACAGTGGGGTAGGGTTTGTAGCTTGTGTTTAGTACAGTGATTGTACAAAGTCTGATCCAATAAACTTGTTAGGTATTTAAATGTTAGTTACCTCCCGGGATTTAGTGGTATACGTATAAAAGTGTATAACAAATTATGAACATCCTGTTCCCTATTTAACCATACTTACACAGTAACCAATAAATGTGTAGTTTCCAGTAATATATATATATATATATATATATATATATATATATATAT